TACCGACCTCCCGACCCACCCCGACCGACCTACTAACCTACCCAACGAACCTACCCAACTACGTACCTAGCTACCTACCTACCTACCTACCTACCTACCTACCTACCTACCTACCTACCTACCTACCTACCTACCCCACCCACCTACCTACCTACCTACCTACCTACCTACCTACCTACCTACCTACCTACCTACCTACCTACCTGCCTAGTATCTAATTATCTAATTATCTATCTATCTATCTATCTATCTACCTATACATGTATTCATACATACATACATACATACATACATACATACAGACAGACAGACAGACAGACAGACACAGACAGACAGACAGACAGACAGACAGACATACATACATACTCACATGCGCAACAGTTAACGCAGATGTTGCTTAGCTGCTCTGCCAACGTTAACAGTCGAATCAGCACAGATGGTCAAGCGAGCATCACCAGCATTAGTATGACAGGCTCAATAGGTTCCTAGAGCTATTCCTATTCTTCGTTTCAAGACGACTATCAGCGGTTGACCTTCTCGAGACGGTAGTACAAAACATGTAGCAAGAGCATTCAGGCCCTGATGAAGTTCTCTGTCTCGAAAAAGGTTCCAACGAAGTTAACTCGGCCACTGACACGTTGGCTCTGATTGAGTTGATAAGTGGCAGCATGGGTCGTCAGTCAAACAGCTTCCAAACCTGGTCCAGAAGTTGCAAGGTAGAGTCATGAATTCAAAAGCCATCACTTGCTCGCAAGGAACTCCAAGGTGGCTCCTTCGGCAAGGCGGGCCGTGGGCACCCAAACCTGCTATGCTGCTATTGGCCACAGGAGGACTCTCCTTATTGCCTTTACCAGAACTCCTTCAATTTAGCCCTACGTGGACGACCGCCAGCACCGCGAACACCGCCGCTGTCGCTGCTGCTGCTGCTGCTGATGATCCATATTTTATGATGCTGATGACGTTGCTGCTGTTGCTGTTGTTGTTAGCGAGGATGATGATGATGGTGAGGATGAGTTGTAGCATCGCTATTCTCATTACAGAGATCAGTCATCATTGCCACCATTGTAAGTAACATGACTCTCATCAGTGGACTAGTAATCCCCTCGCATAGCATGGTTCCCGAATTTCAGAGTTATGATGGGATCAAGATATGACAACGATAACAGAACTTGACTGCTGTGCCGAGATGCTTCGATGCAACCTCATGAGCAGCAAGGAGAACAAGCTGAGATCCGTGCGGCCAACCTGCCTTGCCGTGCATTTTGGCGCATTTAGCTGGTGTTTGTTGCTGTCAACTGCTGTGTTGCTAGGCTTTTTGAGAAATGATCGCAAATTATCCCTTGCAAAGACGGCAGGTGTAGTAGGTGGGAGGTTCAGACATTCATGAACACCCTCTGGTGCTGATGTCGCAGCTTATCAAGTCGAGGCTTGAGTGAACGGTGTAGAGTCAGTAGAGTTCAGTTCACCCCGGACTTTTGAGAAGCCTTGCACTACAGACTACATGCGAATTGCTTTTGCCTCAAAGTGAGGGCCTGAAAGGTGTTACATTTGTAGCCGTCACACCATGGCTGCAGTGGATTGTGTGCTGGCAATAGAATGGCCGAGCTTGACAGACCCGCGGAAGGAGGTCCGGGGAGCTTCTCGCAAGTTGTTTGCCTTCGTGCTTAAAACTTGATGGATGTATGAAGCTGTCATTGACTTCGAGCAGATGTTCTGCAAACTGCACGACATGCGTTTCGATCATTCATGCATCTGGTCGTGCTCTCTCCGTTTCAGAACAGTCGAGATGTCTGTATCTACTGTACATTCCTTTTGGATGTGGCTATTGTTTATTCAGAGCTGCTGAATCGTGTGTAGCATTGCTTTGGATGTGCAGTACGATTGGTTGACGGATGCAAGATTGCAGGTACAGGGATTGCTTTTATCCAAGTGGTTGCATCCCGCTTTGGTGAAGAAGCGCTGAAGCCTTCCCTTTCAGGAGAAGATCCATGTACTTCAGGACATCTGCATTTGAGCCCCCTTCGCAGTCGGTAATCTCCACTTTGGGGAGCTGCTGTTCAGGGACGATGTTTCGGATGTGGCCGGACGGTTTTCGGTTGAAGAAATGGCGGCCAGTGAATGCTTATACTTATGCACGCTGATACCTGTTCCCTCGAGCGCACTGCATCAAGCTATGAACTCGAATCTCCGAGCCCTGCTGTCCAGTGATGCAAACCCGACAGTAAACCCTAAGCCGTCCGAAGCCGAAATCCTACACCCTCCACTCGAAACCCCTCGAAACCCTGAACCCTCAAACCGCACACAAAGTGCCCACTGTCGCAAGGACCTGGGCTTCTCGCCCTGCGTGGAAGTGGAGTCGCCGGTGGTGCGCTCCCAGACACCGGGGAAGGGGCGAGATAAGAAATAGGGTGACGTTTCCAGACTTTCAGGGGATTAGGGTTTCTGGTTGAAAAACTATTCGGGTCTAGTAGGCCACACCCAATACAGTGCATACGAGTCTTGTAGGATTCCGAAGCTGCAGGCTTCTGGCTCAAAAAATAGGATTCTGTGATGCTGCTGAGGGGCCTCCCCATGCGTCGTCCCTGACTCAATCATTGCTTTGCTTCTGTTCCTTCGGAAGCCACGGTCTTGAATTTACTCCAGGCAATGGTGTACATCAATGACTTCGAAGAGTTTGAAGCCGCTGCGCAGGAGCTGTTCTCGCAGCATCCTCTCAGGACCGCAGTGGCCACTCTGGTCGGGAGGAAGATCTTTGAAAAGGAACGTCCGACATCCCAAGCACGGCATCCTGATGATCCCTTCAGCCATGGAGAACGGTCGAAACCTTAAAGCCTGAACCCTACCACCCCGTCCCTCCAGAATCAATCCCGGAGCCGTTTAAGCCCCCTCAGAGCCCTACCGATGTTAATGCAGCCGCACAGTCCCTCGTGGTCCCTCCGGGTAGGGCTCGGGATTCACTTGTCTCGGCAGGACCCGATATTTGGTCAAGTACCGTCACAAAGAGGGAAAGGCCGGGGACTCGCGCTTCAGGGTGTCGGGTTTAGAGTGTTGGGGTTTGGGGTTTTGGTCCAGGCTGCTGTGCGGTTTACAGGTTTAAACGGGTTAAAGTTTTGGGTTTTTGTTGAGTGACATCAGCCACGCTTCCAAGCACCCTGCAAAGGCAATCCTCAAAGTGACTAACGACAGGATATGTGGGCACCCCAGAGCAGACGTGGTGTTCGTGTGCTGCCAGCAGCTCGATTGCTGCACAAAGGCATCTCGTTTCAGCCAGCGGGGACATGCCTTCTAAACTGTCAGACAGATCAGACGGGGGATCTGTTGTAAGCGAGGCAGTGCAAGCCGTGCACAAGCGAACAGTGACACCAGTGACACCAGAGGATGAAATCGGCTTGCCCCAAGGCCTCAAGTTCCGCACGGAGCTCATAGCTTTCCTCAAGCGCATAGAGAAGTTCTCGCAGAACTGGGCCCGCTGGACCGTCACCAAGGCGCGGCATGTGAGCAACGCAAAACGTGCAAGGAGGATGGGGTCAAAGAGTCAAAGAGTCAAAGCGTGAGGATCTGACGAAGCTCAGTGAGCCGGACGAGGAGCTCGAGGCCGTGTGTCGACGCTAGAGGAGTCCTCGGGGCCGCATTGTGCTCAAGGCGGCCAAAACAGCCGCCAAGCCGACAGCCAAAGCCAAGCGCCGGAAAGGCCTGGGGTGCCAGTTTGGGCCCTTGCGTCGCGGGTTGGGTTGGATTTCGAGGGATCTATGTCGGAGCTAATGAGCGATCCCACAGAGTGCCTAGCCCTTGTGTACGTGTTGAACCAACCATGATTAGTATGTGTCCATAGCGAAAGCGGCAAGAGATTTTTGACGTTGTCCGGCATTCTCCAGCATCCATCTACCATTTGGTATGTTGTTCGGGATAGTGGTGGTGGTGGTGGTGGTGGTGGTGGTGATGTGGGTAGTGACGGTAATGTGGATGATTGCGATGGCGATGACGATGACGTTGACGATTGATTGATCGATTGATCGATCGATTGATTGATTGATTAATTGATTGACGGTTTGTTTGATTGCCTGGTTGGTTGGCTGCTGGCTTGCTTGGTTAGTTGGTTGGTTGGTTGCTTGCTTGCTTGTTCGATTGATTGGCTGATGGATTGAGAGTGAGTGACTGAGCGAGTCAGTCAGCGATGGATGGTCGATGTCGCCGTATGTCGCAGTCGTCATCGGTCATCGCCAGAAGCGAGCAGCAGTCAACACTTCCGCGGCTCATCTCCATCTTCCCCGACCTGCAGGCTGAGCAGCGCGCCTGAGTACGGCCAGGGTTAACGCAGAACAGCTGCGGCAGCTGCGGCTGTAGAGACACGTTGCGAGACGTTGTCTAGGGCAAAACCAGGGGAACATAGTTGATGAACTATCGGGTTTTCATACCAACTCCGTCCTGTGTGTTCTAAAGCCCCTGCTCATTAGAGTTATGCAAGAAGTGTAAGACGGCTGTGAAGGGAAAAAGCGGACTATCCTGCAACCGGGCTGACGGAGCCCAAAAGTTTGCAGTCGCAGATCTGCAGATGTGTCATGGCTTGCCTGCATAGCTGTCTTGAGTACCCTACCCATCTTTTCGATTGAATGCATGGTTGTGGCAGGCTAGAGACAAACGCGTGGTTGCGTGTCGTCGGAGAAACTGAAGACCATGACAGTTTCGACAGATGTCTGCAAGGAAAGAGCATCTCTGGACTGGGGGCCACAAGCGCCGGGCGTCATGCACATCCCACCATGGCCCAGGCAATTGAGCTGCGTCTCCAGATGGAGGTACCTGATTGGCCTTGCGTTTGCCAGAGTCAAGCCTCGGACCGCATAGCTTCCTCATCGTTTCGTATTCATGTGTACAGACTGTCTTCACTGCAGGGAGCACCACCTCGTGAGCTTAGCCGTCCGGCGCCGAGATGACAGTCGATGGACCGAAGGCAGTGTTACATGATACTACTAGCAAGGCAGGGTCGGATCGTTACCATGAAGAAATAAACAGCAGCGGCCGTGAATGGAGAGACTCTCAAGATCCTCGGGATGTTGAATGGATCCTGATGTGCACGGTAATGTCTCTGCGAGCCGAGGCACATCGCGGGACCTGTTGGTGGATGTCATGCAGGCCAGTGGCCGATGGAACCAGTGCTGCAGAGCTGCACCACCAAGTTGATTCTCTGCAGATATCATGCTCAAACTGAGGCCTTTCAGCACGCAGGGCCTTTCAAGGTCTTCTCACTCACAGCGCATCTGCTTGCATGTTAATATGTCAAACCATGCCGAGCTTCAGTTTTCAAGTTGGGATCGGCAAAGCCTCGTGCAGCATGGAGTCCAGGGCTATTCGGCATTCTCGTGCTCACATGGCCTGACTTTGCTGGCCTCAAAGCTTGCGAGAGCTGGAACCTGAGAGTGGCCATGGCTTCCAGCTTCGACTTCGACGAGTTGGAGCGTTTGGAAGAGAAGGTCAAGTCCAAGGAGACGGCGCCCAAACCCTCCGGCGTGCAGCCGGAGGAGAACGAGGAGGACGAGGAGGCAGAAGAGGTGGAGGAGGATCGGCTCTTCGACTTCGAGTCGAGGCATACGCTAGCCTCTGAAGTTCCCACAGATTGCCCGAGTGAGGTGAAGGTGGATGCGACGCAGGCGGCTGCGGAGGAGTCCAAGGACAGCGCGTACCCGCTCACCGAAGTCTCGGTTGATGCGATTCGGGAGATTGGCAACGACCACTTCAAGGCCGGAGACTACTTGGGCGCTGAAAAGCATTACTCCATGGCTCTGCAGATGCAGCAAGGCCAGCCCCTGACCCCTCGGCTTTTCTCCAATCGCGCGGCCGCGCGCTTACGGCTTGGGAAGTGGGATGGGGCTCTCCAGGACGTCATGGAAGCGGCCAAGAGGGAGCCGGGAAATCCGAAGATCTTGGAGCGCTTTGGGCGGTCCCTGCTGCTCACGAACAGGCTTCCGGAAGGAGTCCACATTTGCAAGCAGCGCCTTCGAACGCTGTCTGAGGTGCAGAAGGCAAGTGAGGAGTGGAAGCCCTTTCTGGCCATGTCCACTCGGCTGAACCACCATGCCGGGGTGCTGCACGAGATGGAGGGCATTTTGGCGAAGATGCACAACGCTGGTGGAAAAGCCGACTCTTCCCAGGTTTCTGATGCCGCTGCCATCCTGCATGGATGTGACTCGATGCTGAACCTTCTCACCGAGACTGAGGTCCGATCTCCGCTTGGAGTGCGCCTGCGCTTCGCCAAGCTGCGGGCCTACCTGTACCCAGTGCCCGGGGCCGGAGGCGGAGACGAGCTGAGCGTCGAGAAGCGGCGAGAGTGGATCGAGAAGGCGCTTGGTGTTGTGGACGGGTTGATTTGCGAGGACCCGCAGTGGCCAGACTCCCATCACTGGCGTGCGCGCTGCCTCGTGCGCCTTGGCCGGCGCCAGGAGGCCCGTGAAAGCCTACGAAAGGCACAGCGCTTTGCCGAGCAGAAGGGGGGGCGACACGATCTCACAGAGGAGCTGCTGGACAGTATGCGGTCCCTGGACCAGCAGAAAGAGAAAGGGAATGAGGCGTACAAGAGCCAGGACTGGTCTTTGGCACTGGAATGCTATGACAAAGCCATCAAGGCAGACCTGCTTCGCATGGACATCGAGCTGTCTGCGCAGTTGCATTGCAATCGGAGCGCTGTTCTGATGCGCTTGGGGAAGACCGGCATGGCACTGGAGGACGTATCATTGGCTGTGCGGCTGGCTCCCGGCTATGTGAAGGCCCGGTTCCGGCGCGGCATCCTTTACATGGAGCTCGAGCGCTACGCGGAGGCCGCACAGGACTTCGAGTTCGTCTCCCGGACATCCCCGACCTTCGAAGGGCTTGCGACCTGGCGGAGCCGTGCGCTGCGGTGGGCAGCCAGGCCCCCGCAGAAAAACTACTACGCCGTGCTGGGCGTCAGCTTCAATGCTACACAGGCCGACATCAAGAAGGCTTACCGCCGGCTGGCACTCAAGTGGCACCCCGACAAGAACGTGGACCGAACTGAGGAGGCCTCCCAGAAGTTTAAGGCTTTGCAGGAGGCCTTCGAGGTGCTCTCGGATCCTGTGCGGCGCCAGGAGGTGGACGGAGAGGAGCGCAGCTCGTACCCGTCATACCCGTTCCCTGGCGGGGTGAAGACCCAATGGCCGAGCCAGCGATCCTGGCCTCCCTAAAGTGCAGAAGTCCTCCTTCCCGCATCTTCCCTCCCTTCGCCCTCCTTCGAGCTGTCGATGGAAGTCTTGGTGCTAAGATGTAGTGGATGTATCGTGGAGCATCGTGGAGTTCAAGGAGTCGGAAGCGCTGCGAAGAACTTGGCTGAAGTTGGCTGTCGCCTTGGAGATGTCGTCGGTCTCGGCTTGGCTGTCTTACGTGGGAGCCGAGGGAAGGCTCTCCGCCACTGAACGGTGGGAGAAGCTGTGGAGTCGGACAAAAGCCACAGCGCGCGCGCGCAGGACTCGACCCCACCCTCGGCCTCGCCCTTTACGCAGGTGCTGGTGATGACGGACCTGGAGCTCTGCTTCTGGCCGGGGTCGCAACTCTCGGCGAAGGTGATGCGAAGTCCAAATCCCTGCAGAGACCGAGGCCTCCTCAGTGCGGCTCCGAGGAAGAGGCCCGGCCCGGGGGGTCACCTCAAACCTGATCACACCCCACTCTCGTGGGAGCTTTTGTTGACAGCAAACGTGTTCGGCACACTTTAGGCAGTTCCTCCTGCTTGGGGGCCCGGCCTGTTGTTTTCAAATCCCTGCGCTGCAGGCGCGGCATTCGTTGTCACAGCTGAGCCACTGCGTGGGAAGCTTATGTGTTCGCCTGCCTCTTGTGACGGGGCCCCCAGAATCCGTCCGAGGTGCGTCGCAGGGCGGTCTTGGCTGCGCGGAAGGCGTTGAGGCGGCTTCGGCTTCGTCATGCGGTAAGGGACGCACCCGGACGCACCCGCCCAGGCCACCCCCAGGGCTTTTTGAAAGGCCCGAAGCCATCGAAAAGCTGCGAGGCCACAACTGGCCGAGGCAGCATCGGCATGTGACCTCTCCGGCATTGCGCGTGCGGAGGCAGGCGATTGGAAGCCGAACGGGACGGGCCTGGTGATGTTGAGGTTGGGGTGCTTGTGGATGTTGGTGCTTCGGGGTTTGAGGTGGTTGCTCTTGACCTGTAGATTCTCGCGATCCCGAGTAAGTTATGTAAGTTGTGGATGAGGGTCCTTCGACAGCAAATCGGGATGAGGGTTCAGCACTTCAAGAACTCGAATTGGGGAATTGAAGTGTAGAAGAGCCCTCGGGGCTTGAAATGGGTGCGGCACAAAGAATACATACACTGGCGTGAAAGGCCGTGAAGGTGGACGGCGCGAAGAGCCACAACCCCAGTCGGTTTGTGTTCAGGGTCCTCGAAACCTAGAGCTTGCATGCATGGAGGGATGGGGAAACTAAACCCTGCACCACGACTCTAAGCCCTGGATAGATATCTAAACCCTAAGCCCGCAAGAAGACCCAAAGCTTGCGACCGACAAAGCCGCCCTTTGCTGCTGGCTTGGCTCCAGATCCTCAGTAGTTCGGCCGAGCAGAGGCCCTGGAGCGCAAGTTGGCGCCTGGAAAGGTTCGGGAGTTAAACAAGCAAATAAATCATACTTGAGGGACTGACCCCCAATTGGGTGACATGCCTTGAGCTTTCGTGGTACGGAGAAGCTGATCTAAGGCGGCATGGGAACGAGAAGGATTCGAGTGTTTTTCGATGTGCAGTGAGGCAGACGTTCCGAGGTTGGAGATGCCTTTGATGCACTTTCGGGAGCCCTTCTGGATTTCCCTAGGGTTCCGCCTTGCTTGAAGCGTAGGTCCATGACCGACCCCAAAACATTTCCGTGCCCCCAGCGTTTGAAGCTTCCAACAGAAACTAAGACAGGGCGGCGATGGCCGAAGAGCAGATCGATGCCGCCTCCGTCGAACCCGCGGACCGACGGGAAGGGAAGGGTGTCTGTCATGTAGGGCACTGTAACATAGCGGCAGCCAATAAGCATCATGACAATCACAGTAACAATAATAGTTGCGCTGATCACGCCTCGTGCTGCTGCTTCTGCTGCTGCTGCTCTTCCACCACCACCAGCGCAAACACCGCCACCACCACGACAAACATGACTACTCGTACCAGTACCAACAATAACAACAAAGGTATCAATAACGCTACTACTAGCAATAGTACTTATAGCTCGTAGCGACAATAATACGTATCATAACAATATTCATAGCACGAAGAATAGTAACGACAATGATATTCAG